CCCGACAGTCTGATTCTTCTCTGGCTCCTCCAAACAGTCTGTCTCCCAAAGCCTTGAAGCTACAAATAATCCTGCTGTGCTCTCTGTCCAGGCTCCCACGCTGTGATATCCAGCATCTGCCTCTTTTCTAAAGCAGTCAGTTTGATTCTGCTATGGGTGAGACAGGCCTGACTTACCTTGTATTTCCTGATCGCAGCTGAGGATTCAGGGAGATTTTCTGTCTCAGAAGAATCTGATGACCTCTAAAAAGAAAAAAAAAAAAAAAAGAAAAAAAAAAGGGAGAGAGAGAAAGAAAGAATGTTTACCATAAGATATGAAATGATGCCAAGCAATGAAGGGGATCCAACATAAATATTTACATGGAACATATAGCGGCAAATCACACCCTCACATACCCAGGCTTCCTCCTAAATTTAAGCAACTCCGGCAAGTGTTTTCTGAATTGCCTCCTGAATAAAATCCTGAAGTGCATTAAGGGGGCATATAATTCTCCTAACTCTCCTGTGGAATCCAGCATGAGCTTTTAAAGCATCGTATTTAGAATACACTGGAACAAAGCTAAACAGGCTGACAATAAAGACTGTGACTACTAGTCCTCATTTCTATTAGATATTTTACAGAATATCACTGAAGCAATGAGAGCAAAATGAGCAATGGTCCCAGACCCTTTAAGAGATATTTTTAGCCAGGTTCGTTAGATTCCAAAGCCTGGAAAAAAAGCAAACAACAGATCAAAAGTCAATCTCCTCCTTCATAATCAGAACTTATCATAGTCAAAGTTACTGAGAAGATAATTAAAAATAAATTCCTAGACTACAAAACATTTTTTTTTACAAGTATTGATTCTATAAAGAGTAAAATTCAGAGATTTAAGTTGTATTAAGGATGATTCATAAAATTACTCTCTTTATACTTCCCACAGTAATATGAGAACACATATATATTTTAGTGCTTAAAAGAGAAAAGTAGAAGTAAAAGCAATCCAAGCTTTGAAGGATAGATTAATAGTTGAGTATTTATGTCTAAACAATATACACAACTAGTACTGAGTCAAATAAAAAAATAATCTGCATCTTACAGAAAATATTATTTTAAAAGTATCTTTAAACTTTCAGAAGAAAGTTTCCATTAAAAAATAGAATACTGTAGAGGTACCAATTGTAGCTTCATAGCAAAGGGTTGAGTATGTAATGTATGATTCATCATGGTTTTTTGCCATAGGAATTTTCACAATGCTTTCCAGTTTACAAATAAATCCATTCTAGCTTAAGTTCTCATTCAAGAAGGGGTAACTAAGAATTTGCAATATTAAACCCTTCAAATAGTCCATGTATTTATTGTCTGAAACCTTTTATATTTTCATACTGAATTATAAGTTAGACTATTTGACTCAAGTGGAAGTGCCTCTGCCTCTGGAGCCCTGCAGCCCATTGCTGCATTGACTTTTGGGCTATATGTGCCTTTTCACATCAGGTGTTACAGTCAGAGAAATTGCAAACAGGTTCTTTAGTCCAAAGCTTGTGATAGCATTAAAATGAATTCAGTATCCTCTTCAAAACAGGACTTGCCAGAAGGACAAGAACAATGTCTTAAAGCAAAACAAAGAACAAAAATACTGCCTATTGCCCATACATTCATGGAATGCCTGGAAGTTCCCTTCAAGATCCCAGTTTTGCTAATCTCTGCCTCTCACTGGGCAAAGCAGGGAGCACACATGACTCTTCAGATGGGCAATCTCCTACCTAGTCACATACCTGAAGGGTCAGGACCCTTTGATCCTTTTTTTTTTTCTTCCCCAAAAAAACAAGAGCTATGACAGGGGAGGAAATCTCACTGTTAACAGTTCTGTTCCCTTCTTACCTTCCCACAAGTCTTTTCCTCTCTGCCCATATCCTTCCCAATCACATATTTTTTTCTCTAACAGGCTTCACATTTTCTATTGTTCTGTTATAAGGCATTACTAGGAAACAAAACGTGAAGAGGCAATGATATTCTTTTTTCACTGTAAATAATACATAGCTTCTTAGGTCTCCAAAAAGATTAGAAGTTGTACTAACTCTGAGGTTAGCCTTCAAAAATAAAACCTTTTCCTTTATAAGATTCCAAAAACAAATGCTGCAGAAAATTTCATTTTCTTATTATTTTCACTGGAGAGCTTCAGTGAGAATCAGTTACCACTGCCTACTGTTTGATCCTTGGCATGATTTTTCTTCTACTTTCTGAAAAGAGAAGGTGATTCCACTTTCCCCAAAAACTCACTTCCTTCCCAAAGTGAGAAAAGAAAGATGGTGAATATTGTGAAGTGTCTGAATTGTGAGGTTTCAATCAAGGACGAAATGGTTTGTGTGACAGGAGAAGAAAGAAAAAAAAAAGGTGCTAAAAATACTAGGAGAAAATCATTATTAACTGAAATGTGTCCTAGAAGTCACTGCTGTGTCTAATCTGCAAAACAATCAACTGAAGGAACAATCACTGAAGCATATACATGCTTACAGTTTCCCAATATGCTGCATCTTTGCATCATTAAAATAAAATAGATATACAGAGAGTCCAGTACTTGTAATATATCAAATCACATGGCATTTCACAGAGGCACTCGAGTGCTATGCACCACAGTTCCTCCCCTATCACAGACCCAATCTACATGCCTATGAAGTGATGTTTTTTCAGCAATTGCTATTTTTTGTCATGCAACAGAGAAGTTTCAGGGCCCTAAGAACATGGGATACAGAGCTAAAATTAAGGTTGACCCTAAATGTCAGAGCCAGCACTATAACTTTAAAGTCAAAGTTTAAAATAAGTCAGACTGTAGCATGATAGGGTTAACAATCAGCTGAGAGCTGAATAGAAATAGCTCTGCATATGCTCTAACTGTGCCTTTTCATATGCTGCAATACTTGCTGGAGCAACAACAATCAGCTGTTTCATTCTTGAAGACACGCATTTAATCTTAAATTCAAGTTTTATAGTATGTTCACTTACTCACTTGACCGTCATCAATGCCTGTCTCTAACTAGTTAAATATTTTTAGAGCAATTGCAAGAGCTAAGTAATTGCAAATGCAAAGTATAACTGTAGGTTCACCCGCATTTAGTTGATCTGAATACACAATTCTTTGTACTTTGAGTTTGTTATCAAGAGGTTCAAGCAACAACTTCCACAATATGAAAATGAGACACTCCCTTCTCAAAGAAGCCACTATTTCTACCACAATAGTACACTCTTTCAAAGCACTGCGGAGACTGACCTCTTTTTCATCCGCTGACAGCTACTTTCGATACGTAATTTTAAATCATTCAATTAGTCATAGAGCTAGCAACATCACAGAAACAACACCAAGATGAGGGGAACACTGGAATCTAATCAAATCGTACATTAAAAAGATATTAATGGTATACAATCTCAGTATGTACAGAGTATGCATGAAGATCCTGTGGCTCCAGCTCTTGCACATCCCCTCACCCTCTTTCCCAAAATGAAGCAAAAGCAAATAATCAGGCTGCATGCTTCAAAACTGTGGTGGGTTGACCCTAGCCAGTAGCGAGGCACCCGCACAGCCAGACCCTGAGAAAAATACCCAAAGCATCCTACAGATCTATATATTTCTACACAATCAGAAGCTGTGTGCAATTTTTCTCCTCAAATTACCATATATCTCTGTGCATTGTGTAGAGACAAGTTCTGAAACAGTATCTTGATACGTCTTGCATAGAGATGACACTATTGACATCTTCAGGAGTAGGAGTCTCCCAGGAGTACATGACAGAGCAGCTCCCTCCTCCACCCTAATGCTCCAGAAATAGACGAGCCATTGCTAGAAAGCATTTTTCAGAAAGCAGAGTCTTCTAAATACTTAATAAGGAGAAGAGAATGAGAAGGGGAGAAGCAATTGATTCCTATTAAGCTGAACTTCAGAGCCTTAGAAAAACACAAACAAGCTTGAGAATTTTTAAATTAAAAGTAGCAGTACTTCCTGAATCTATAAAGCTTTAAGAGCAGGAACAAAATCAAAATTGCTTATTATGCTATATTAGACAGCTCTTTGTCTAGTTTATATGAATGCGTTTATTCTTCAAACTATCTTTAAATAACTATGTCACAGGGGATACGTGCTGTCTCAACTTTTCTAGAAGAAATCTAGACATATCCGGGTAAATACACAGAATAATGTGTTCCACTTCCCTCTACCCCTTTTTCTCCTGCACACTGAAATCTAGCAACACCCAATGAGACAAGTCTGCCCGCTCTCTTGCTTTCTGCTTCTTGAAAGAAGGAAACTCCAGTCCCTTTGGTTTCTGCGTAGCTATCAGGAAGAGCGCCTTTTTTTTTTTTTTTTT